AAGGACAAGGTTAACCATAAAATTTATGAAGGGAAAAAAGGTGAGTGGTGCTTTGGGGTATCTGGAGACAGACAACGTTATCCATAGAGGCAAAGAAGGAAATGTACTAGAGTATAATGGTGTGATGCATGGGTTGTAAATTCTGCAGCAAGGAGGAGACAGTGGAGATGTCGTGTCTAAAGGCAATGTGTGGTGTAAATGTTATGCAGAGAATCTGTAGTGTGGAAATTAGGAGAAGGTGTGGAGTTAATAAAAGTATTAGTCAGAGGGCTGAAGAGGGGTTGTTGAGGTGGTTTGGTCATTTAGAGGATGGAACAAAGTAGAATGACTTGGAGAGCATATAAATCTGTAGGGAAAGGAAGGCAGGGTAGCGGTCATCCTAGGAAAGGATGGAGGGAGGGGGTAAAGGAGGTTTTTTTGGGCAAGGGGCTTGGACTTCAAGCAAGCGTACGTGATTCAGGGAAACTGGTTAGCTGTACTTGAGTCCTGGATGTGGAAAGTACAATGCCAGCACTTTAAAGTAGTTTGGGATATTGGCAGTTTGGAGTGATATCTAAACTGTCATATTTGAGTGCCTCTACAAAGACAGTGATTATGTATGAATGATGGTAATGTGTTGAATGATGAAAGTTTTTTTCTTTTTGGGTCACCCTGCCTCGGTGGGAAACGACCAACGTGTTTAAAAAAAAAAAAAACTGTGCTGTAATAGGTACAGACTGTTGGTAATGAATACTTAAAATTAGCCTCTTAAATATGGTGTTATATGTCTTGAATGCTTCCCTGTTTGTTCCTGAAAGCACTTCTTACAATTGCAGTACAGTTAATGTTTATCATACTCTGTTCATGTTTGGTTTATTAGGACCTTGGTAGAGGTGTTGCATGTGATGTCCACCCCCAGGGTAATACTATACATTGTAATCAGTTGTCTTTTCCAGCTCGCATCCTCATTACCTCATGCTTGTTTGGAATAAACTTCAGCAACAGTTGATTGGACCATTGTTGTGGTTTGCCAGAGTTAATTTTGCTTTTTATCCTCCACAAAAGGCACCAGTTGGAAAGTATTGTTATTCTAATACCTCCAGTTTAAGGTAGATTTTTCTGATTGGCAAAAATACAGATTTCTGATGCTGAAGAATTTACACTGCATGATTGACATGGCAGCTGCTTTATGTACTGTATTATGATGACTTGTAACTTCTGATTTGGATCAAATTTTAGACAATTTTGCATGCCACATATATTTGTTCTTATATTGTGATTGTTTTCTAATGTGTCAGTGCTTTTGTTATAGTGGCTGCAATTGATATTAATAGCAAGGTGCTACATTTGCTAGAACTGAGTATTGTTGGTAGCAACTTCTTAATGCTGGACTGTACTAAGTACACGGATCTAGTTCTGAGAAACAGAAACTTTTTCCAAGCTCATGTTATGCACAACAATTTAGAGGAAGTTGAAAGCAGAGATAAGAGTCAATTAAATAAAATACAGTGGAGAAGGAAGAACAGGGGAAGAATTGGGAAGAGAGAGAAGGAATGGGCAATAGAAAGATATAGAAATGAAGGGAATGCACCTGGGTATGCATGGAAAAAATGTAACCTTGAACACATGGGAATCAGAAAAATTGTGGAAGCCTCAAATGTTAGGTGATGTCAAACAGGAAATACTCATCGTGGAGATAGAACATAGTCAAGGTGGTGCCATAACTGTATTCTGTAAGGAAATGAATCCAATACTCAAAATGACTGAGAACTCACAGTAAAAGAAATAAAATAATAATTATGTGAAATGCATAATTTTCCTTAAAATATGAAATGCAAGAATATTGATTAACTTCAAAGGCACTTGTACTTCACATACTGGTAACTTTCAAGGCACTTGTACTCCACAAACTGGAGTACCGCAGTATAGTAGCAGCTCACCTTTAAGGAAGATCCCAGGAATGTACACAGTAGTTTCACTGCCACATAAAATAAGGTATCTGAATTAATGAGATTGCTTCAGATCACCTAAATTGCATTTTCTGTAGTGCAAGCAAGAAAGATGTACTGTATGTATCCTAATTTATACCTGAAATTTCTAGTTGGTATAGCTGTATAGTCCTTGTGGCTTAGCGCTTCTTTTTGATTATAATAATAATCTAGTTGGTATAAATGTAAATTTTCATATTCATTTTGATGAGAATAGGAGGCTTACTAGTGGTGGAAAATCCTCCCTCTAATAAAAAGCATGGGTCCCATAATTACACTGAGAGAGCTGAAACCCCAGAAAGTTTAAGGATTTTAAACATACTTTGAAGATAAGGGAATTATAACCTACAGACCCCTGGCTGTCTTGATGTGGGAACATAAGTTTTGTTAGGTAGTTTTTGATTAGCCAGGCTATGAGCCTTAACTTGCCTATGTTTAGCAATGCCAACAGCAACCCTGGTCTGGGACTCGGCAATGTTGAGTGCAGTTATTATAAAGTCTTACAACTAGGAATGAGGATCATGTAATCAGCTGCAGGCAAGTTCTCATTTAATCAATCAATATTCTCTTTGGTTTCTTAATTTTACAACGTGCTTCCTGCCCCTTTAAAGAATATGAGCTACTCTCCCTTTCCTTGGATCTAGTCTGATTTCCTCTTATTCTTAAATGCACTGTATGATTCCTACAGGTTTGGCACTTCCTCCCTTTCCTTCTTTCATCTTTCCTCCTTTCTCCTTTCCTTCAACCTCTCTCTGCATCACTGCCTGTCATTCCACTCTCCCTCCACATTGCATTACAATACGTATATCCAATGTGGTATATAATAAAAAGGTCTACCCTGACACAATGCTAACAGTATATAATGTTCTTATCAAACCTCCCCACCTTGAATGTAATGTATAACTTTGGCTAGTAACTCATGTAAAACATGATAATCTTAAGATGATGCATAGAAAGATAAAACTTGTATCTTCATTAAGAAAGATGACACATGAAATTTTTTTTAAGTACCTGACCTGTTTACGGGTATAAAAAAGAAGCTATGATGCAGTTTCATTAAAACCTTCAAGAAACTAAACATATTCATTAATTACACTAGCAAAAATATCTTGTTAGCATGCAGTGTGATGGCATAATACAAAACAGTAGTATGAAACTCCCTGACAGGCAGTGGATCATAAATGTGGATAAGAACTTTTTTTTGAAAGTGTTGTAGAGGACAGTTTTTTCCCCTGAAATTGTTAGCACCAAAACAGTTCAGTCCTTTAAGAATCAAATAGATGTAAACTTTGCAGATATAGGATTCTTCTAGTGACTGTGGGTAATGGTATCCATGGTGCAGTGTTGTGTAGCAGAGTTGATAGTATTAATTATAGATACTGTGCTTGCTATGGCTGGTAGTGAAGTAGCAGTAGTAGTGCAATTATATTTGTAGTTCTAGTCCATGATTTTCATTTACTGTTTTTCCTATCAATGTATAGGCATATATTTTTTAAATAACTTGGTTGCATCTCTTTATCCTTGCTATTTGCTCATTCTTGCTCTTCTTTCAATCTTGTCTTTCACTCTTTCTCTATCTCTACCTCTCTCTTTATCTTTCTCTATCTTTTTTTTTTTTTTTTTTTTTATACACAGGGTTTGACAAGGTTAAGGATTCCTAACTTTATTGGCAAGCTAAGAGCTGTTACCTGCATCAGCTCATTTGAAAGCATTTTTATTGTTATGAGACATACAAGTAGGGAACAGGATGAAGTTGGAGCCGTCTGTGGGCCAGCATTTTCATTTGATCAACTGACTTTATCTCGTTGACATCATTATGCTGTACGAATGTGTTCCATACTCGAGTCATCCTGGGTATATACGATCTCAGATGGAGTGATGTTCTGGAGAAGGGTACAGCCAGAGTGAAGTTGCTGCTTTCTGCCCGTCTTGTGGCATAAAAGCTTGTTTCACGCTGTCCTCGAAGTGGATCTCTCTCTTTTTCTCTCTTTTTCTCTCTCTTTCTCTCTTTTTCTCTCTCTTTTTCTCTGTCATATATATATATATATATATATATATATATATATATATATATATATATATATATATATATATATATATATATATATATATTATTTTCAACAAGTTGGCCGTCTATCTATCTGTCTATCTCTGTATCTCTATCTCTATCCTCTATCTCTCTCTCTATCTCTCTCTCTACTCTCTCTCTATCCTCTCTATCTCTCTCTATCTCTCTCTCTATCTCTCTCTCTATCTTCTCTCTCTCTCTCTCTCTTTTCTCTCCTCTCCTCTCTCCTCTCCTCTCACTCTCTCTCTCTCTCTCTCTCTCTCTCTCTCTCTCTCTCTCTCTCTCTCTCCTCTCTCTCTCTCTCTCTCCTCTCTCTCTCTCTCTCTCTCTTCTTCTCTCTTCTCTCTCTCTCTCTCTCCTCTCTCTCTCTCTCTCTCTCTCCTCTCTCTCTCTCTCTCTCTCTCTCTTCCTCTGCTCTCTCTCTCTCTCTCTCTCTCTCTCTCCTCTCTCTCTCTCTCTCTCTCTCTCTCTCTTCTCTCTCTCTCTCTCTCTCTCTCTCCCCTCTCTCTCTCTCTCTCTCTCTCTCTCTCTCTCTCTCTCTCCTCTCTCTCTCTCTTCTCTCTCTTCTGCTCTCTCTCTCCTCCTCTCTCTCTCTCTCTCTCTCTCTCTCTCTCTCTCTTCTCTCTCCTCTTCTGTCTCTCTCTCTCTCTCTCTCTCTCTCTCTCTCTCCTCTCTGTCTCTCTCCTCTCTCTCTCTCTCTCTCTCTCTCTCTCTTCTGTCTCTCTCTCTCTCTCTCTCCCCTCTCTCTTCTCTCTCTCTCTCTCTCTCTCTTCTCTCTCTCTCTCTGTCTCTCTTCTCTCCTCTCTCTCCTCTCTCTCTCTCTCTCTCTCTCTTCTCTCTCTCTCTCTTCCTCTCTCTCTCCCCCCCCCCCTTTTTCTTAATACATTGATCATTTTTCCTTCCAAGATTCTAAGCATAAATATAATTTTGCATGTTATCAGTTCTTACTTTTAATATTATTGCAGATGAAAATATGGAGCCACAAGTCATGGCTTCAGAACTCCACAATGTGAGGTTGAAACTGGAAGAAAAACGTCGCAGAATAGAGGCGGAGAAGAGAAAAATGGAGCAGGCTATGAACAAACAACGACAAAAGCTTGGGAAGGAAGCCTTTATGCAGGCTGTTGTGAAAGGAGTAAGTGTATTTTCAGTGCAAACTATATTTTTCATTCTCTAATTTTATGGGATTTAATATTTTCACAGTAAAGTATTTTACTACTTATACTAGTCTGAGCTTGACTTTTGCCTGTGGGATAATTTCAATATTTTATTGTTTCCAGATACTGTACTTGTAACTAGTTTGTATGCCAAGTTGTCCAAGATTTGGACGATTCTTCCCATCAGAATTTCTTGCTTGATCTGGCTATACTTGGTAACCAGATAATTTTAAATTCTGATACATGAATGTGAATTGCCGTAGTTTTTATCTAGATAATTTCTTAATGGTAGTTTTATTTTAGCGTGCTTAGCAGATTGTTAGCAAATACTCATGCTGTTTAGTTTGGCATTTTAGAAGGTTATCTTTAGTACCATATGGTTGTGCAGCCTTAGATTCACAAGTGATAAAAGCACAATTAGTTGGGTGGGCCTAAATAGTGCATTTCCTGTGGAACACCATTATACAGTATTCCCATACTGTTACTTTGCTATTGGACCTGAGGAAGGAGAGTTTTTCAAAGAAATTGCAAATTGGACAAGTTAAAATTGGAGAATTTTATAAGGTCATAGTGTTAATGAAAGATCAGAAAGAAGGGACAAAACAATTTTTTTTTTTTATCCAAAGGGCTAGATTTTAATAAGGAATTATAATATTTTGTGAAACTGATTTGTTGAAATGAATCGTATAAGCTTTTACAAATCAACCTGCTGTATATAAAAAGACAGAGTTACCAAGGTAATAGTACTGCAGTGTGTTTGAGCGTTAAAGCAAGTGTATATAAAGTCTGTCAGTTAAAAATGGAACAGTTTCGGAGAGGCAATGAGCTGTAACTTTTAAGCCCACCTAACTTGGAAAAAAAAACTGACGTATATTGATACACTTGTTTACTTTAGAAGCCCTGTCAGAGCTTGCATCTGCTGTGCAATTGCTTGGCTCATTTTTTCATTTGTCACCCTTCCATTCATGTCTCCTTCATCTAGATTCTCTTGCCAAATTTCATTTAGTCTTCCTTGTTTATTCCCTGTACAGTAGTAGTTTGTACATTATGATCATACATCGTTATGTTTGGTAAATGGACACAGGCTGCTTATAAAACATTTATTCTGACTATTTTCTTGAGTAGGGGATATATCAAGGTAATGGACAATATAAGAATACAGATGGTATGTGAAGAAAACAGTGAGGTGTGTCAGGCAGGGCTTAATCAAGACATCATAGTTGTGTTGGTAGATGTAATATTGGCAGTAGTAGAAGAGACCATTTGTCAGGTGATAGTAGGTTTTATGGTTTTTAGGAGGATTCTTGCTAATGTTGCAGAGATGAAGTTGCCTTTGTTCTGTGTAACTGTATCTGCAGTGGAGATTAATACCATTTCTGCGCATTTTCATTTGCAGGTATCTTGTTTCTTAAGACTAAGTGGGTGTCATTCCATTTCATCAGGTGGCTGGAGATAGTAGTGTTGTACACACTTTATTGTTCCTGTTGTTGCATTTGCACACACATGTGTTCTCTTAGAAGTGCCCCTAGGTTTCTTGCTGACTTTATTTTTATAACTGGTTTTCCCCCTTTTTTTTAACTGGTTGTCTTCACCCATCCACCTCCCCCCCCCCCCCTTTTTTTTTAGCTAGTTGTCCCCCAGCAAGGTAGGATGACCTAAAAAAGAAGAAACACTTTCACCATCATTCATTCAATCACTGTCTTCCCAGAAGCATGCTGACATTATACATGACTAGAGTATAGGCACCATTCTTTCTTTCACCTCCAGGACTCAAGTCCAGCTAACCATTTCTCCCTGAATCCTATCATGTTATCTTGCTCATGCTCCAACAGTGTGTATACCTGATTTTTTTTTTTCCAACACGTCGGCCATCTCCCACCAAGGCAGGGTGACCCAAAACAGGAAGAAACACTTTCACGATCATTCACACATAATCACTGTCTTTGCAGAGGCACTCAGCTACAACAGTTTAGATGTCACTCCAAACAGCCAATATCCCAAACCCCTGCTTTAACTTGCAGGCATTGTACTTCCCACCTCCAAGACTTGAGTCTGGCTAACTGGTTTCCCTGTATCCCTTCACAAAATATTACCCTGCTCTCACACTTAAAATGATAGATTTTGCCATCGCCCAATAAAAAGTCGCTTCTGCTACCACTGCTGCCACATTTGCTACTACTACCATGACTTTTTGATTATGCCCCATCTCTCGCACCTCATTTTGTTCCCTTTATATATTGTGTGTCCTTGTGTTATTTGCATTGACCTGATAAAGCTCCTGCAAGTGAAACATAGCTGTAATAAATGCCTTTTTAGTTGTTCCTGTGTCTTTTACCTAACATTTTTGGTAATTTAAAGAGTATGTTTGCATCGTTCGTGTTGCGGCACTTGCAGAGATGAGTGATCTAACTCAGTCACTCTTTGCAGCTGAATTTTCTTGACTTTTTAAAGAGTCCAAGGCAAAAACTACTTTCAGCACTGGATCCTTGCCAAAGGGGCCTCTGTAGGGTTGAAGGTACATTGTGCAGGAAAGAGGTGAATTGTTTTGAGACATATCATAAAAATAAGCTCTCATTTGGCAACACCCTGTCATAATTTTAAGAAAAAAGAAAAAGCATGAACATACTATTTAGCAGCTATTTCAGTCATCACACATGGTATTTTGTATTACTTTTTTTTTTTTTTTTAACATGTCAGCTGTTCCCACCGAGGCAGGACGACCCAAATAGAAAGAAAGAAAAAACTTTCATCATTCAACACTTTCACCATCACTCATACATAATCACTGTCTTTGCAGAGGCACTCAGATACAACAGTTTAGATGTCCCTCCAAACTGCCAATATCCCAAACCCCTCCTTTAAAGTGATGGCATTGTACTTCCCATTGCATATCATCTTTCTCATTCTTTAACTTAATTATGTTTTGGACATTAAAATATGTAGAACAGACTCTTTATTGAGACAGTATTTTGCTGAGGGTAGAGCTGTATCAGGCCATGAATACATTAAGCTTTCTGGGGTTTTGTCGAGTTTCTACCGTATAAAGACTCGAGTGTTATTGCGCTGTTAGGACGAACGGGACGTACAAATGTAATGCTGGCAAGTATAGGTATGAAGACAATGTGCTGAACAGGCTTATATTGGTACAGCATTTTGCTTGGGAAGACAATGATGGGCTCTTTATTAGGGGTGCAACAAGTTCAGGAGGGCATTCTTTTAAATTGTACACTGAACCCACAGGGATTTCAGTTAACATTTCTCTTTTGCAAATGATGAGGCTCAAGTGGCAGCACCTTCGGTTCACAGCTGAGTGGACTCTGGTGCAATCCTGGTGTGAATAGAAACATTGGGCCATGTGCCTTTACACCTGTTTCCCTTGTACAACGAATAATAAGTAGGTAGCTGGTCGTTGTGGATGGCATCCCAGGGAGGGTGGTCATATATATTAGATTAAACTGGGCTTTGATATGAACTGAGGTAAGATAACAGCTCTTGGCTTAAGATAAAAATGAAATGGCATTGACGGGTTATTGATCCCATGAAAGCTGAATCTACACTGGGGTTCGTTGATGTATTATAATAGTTATTTAATGTCAAAAGTTAGAAGGTGAGACAAAGAGTTAGGGCTCATTCACCCACAGAGTGCTGAATGACCCTTTTGGGCCTAGCACTTTTCAAGAATATTATAATAATCATAATAACAACCCCTGCAAGCTCAAATTGGTAATTACTATATACACACACACACACACACACACACACGTGTGCACACACACACATGCGTGCACACACACACATGCGTGCACACACACATGCATGTGTTAGCACTATTTTTTCTACATTTACCTAACTGCTATTTGTAAAACTCAAAGAAAAATCATTGGTGCTAGATATATTCCTTATCACATTAATAACTTGCATTCTAAGACTGGTTTATTAGTAACAAGGAAATCTAATGATTCCACTAACTCCAACTCTCCTAATAATAAAATGGTGTAACCCCAAAACGAGTTCTCCTGAACTTCATAGGGAAAGGGGTCTTCCACTGGATCCTCAACTCCCACTACATCAGAGCCTGATGCTTTGGACACAATGGTAGATTCAGTGGAACAATGTCTGCCAAAGCATCCCTCTTCTCTTACCACCACTGCTACTCCACCTAACCCAGACTTATCACTGAAGGTAACTGTAAGTGTAGTTGCATGCCTCTATTTTGGCACATGTTTTGTTCTGTGGCTTCTAATGTTTACACATAACCCATGTTTTCTGATGCTTTGAGTTATATTCTCTAGGTTTAGTGTTGTGCTTTGTTTGGTATAATGAATTAAGTGTTGTAAAATCCCATTAGATGTAGTTAATATTATGTTTTTAACCAAGTTTTTGGCATGTGACCTCCAACATGATACGTGTGACTATTAAATTCTCATATACATAAGGTGTGCATAAAAGTGTACAGATTCTTTTTATTAATTACTATTTTGTCACTTTAAATATAATAAATTTCTTTGATAACTGGAGTAGATTATAAGAAGGCTTGCATAGATAAAGCTTTTGCACTGTTTATTTCTGGCCAAGTGATTTCCCACTCATAAAAGAAGGAGAATGCAGCTCTTGACAGAGCTGCATTTGGTTTTTCCATAAGTTTAAATAGCTCTTAAGAAATTTCTGTTAAATTTAAAAGTCTTTTTTTTTTTCATACAGTACAGAGTAACTATACTTTGTGATTTCGACTATTATTAATTGTTGTTAACCAGAACCGTGATATTTCACTGTCCACTGCATGGTTTTTATGCTCATAAATAATAAATTCTTTTTATTTTTAGTAATCTGTACGGGGGGGGGGGGGGAAGGGGGTCGCTAAATATGTTATTTCTGACCACTGTCAGCCTCAGGCATATCTCTTGAGTTATCAGACTCTGCCATATGGAGGCCAGTGATTTGTCTTTAAGGTCCAAAAATAAAGGTGAACCCAAGCAAACAGGCTGGAAGCAAGTACCATCAGGACCCTGGCACTCCCTCCCACAGTCTGGCTATTACTGGTTAGCCAGACTTGAGTCCTGGAGGTGGAAAGTACAGTGCCTGCACTGTAAAGGAGGGGTTTGGGATATTTGCCATTTAGAGTGACATCTAAATTTTTGTATCTGTGTGCCTTTGGCAAGACAGTGATAGTGTGACTGATGGTAGGTGAAAAACAGTTGGAATGTGAGGCAGAATGGGAAGGTAGTGTTCAACAAATGGGTGATATAGCAATGGTGAATTATAGTAGTCAACCAAATGGGGCTTCCTTGTGTGCATGTACCCATGGAGAGAAATTGGTGGATAAAAGCAGCTCTTGAGCATAAGATTAATCTCGGTGAGCATAATGGTGACGAGAACCAGTGTGTGGCCAGGAACATGACTTAAAACAAGCTAATATACAAGTTTGATAGAAATTATGCATTATTGCTTCACTGAGGTTAAGGTTATGTTGGATGTCATATACAACCTCGCAAGGAAAACCAAATTGTCTTAAGTTCATAAATTATCAAATTTTAAAAACTTAAGCAGTTTGGTCATGAATGAATAAATTCACTATTTAAGTACAGTGGTACCCAGAGTTTTGAACTTTTGTTCCATAAGGCTGTTTGAGTGCTGTTACTGAACGAATTTGTTCCCATAAGGAATAGTGTAAATTAGATTAGTCCGTTTCAGACCCGCAAAAATACACTTACAAAAGCACTTACAATAATACACTTACATAATTGGTAGAGTTGGGAGCAGTTCAAAACTCTGGATACCACTGTATATGAATGTGAGATAGCCTAATTTTTTTTTTTATGTATATGCTGGTTATCTCCACTGAGGCAGGGTGACCCAAAAGAAGAAACTTTCACCATCATTTACACTCTCACTGTTTTGCCAGAGGTGCACAAATATCCCAAACACCTTCTTTAGAGTATAGGCACTATACTTCCCATATTTTTTTTTTTTCAACAAACTGGCCGTATCCCACCAAGGCAGGGTGGCCCAAAAAGAAAAACAAAAGTTTTTCTTTTTAAATTTAGTAATTTGTACAAGAGAAGGGGTTACTAGCCCCTTGCTCCCGGCATTTTAGTCGCCTCTTACAGCACGCATGGCTTACGGAGGAAGAATTCTGTTCCACTTCCCCATGGAGATAAGAGGAAATAAACAAAAACAAGAACTAGAAAGAAAATAGAAGAAAACCCAGAGAGGTGTGTATATATATGCTTGTACATGTATGTGTAGTGTGACCTAAGTGTAAGTAGAAGTAGCAAGATATACCTGAAATCTTGCATGTTTATGAGACAGAAAAAAGACACCAGCAATCCTACTATCATGTAAAACAATTACAGGTTTCCGTTTTGCACTCACTTGGCAGGACGGTAGTACCTCCCTGGGTGGTTGCTGTCTACCAACTTATTACCTATAATATTATTATTATTATTATTTCCACATTTGATCATATTACATCTTCATGTAATTTAATTCAGACAGTAATCTGTGACCATATAATTAGAGTATTTTCTGGTGGTCACAGCACTTTTATAGTTAATACTGTAAAGTGACAAACCACTTGGACAAAATTTAGCCACAGTTATATAAAAAAAAAAGTGTACATTGTATTTGAGCCTCATAGGCTCTCTTCAGTAGCCTGGCCCATGGCCAGGGTCCAGGAGTAGAAAAATTCTCAAGAGCTCATCAAAGGTATATAAGGTAGGCTTAATTGTAACCTGATTGGTAATGAGTTAGTAAGATTGGGAAAGAATGAAATTTGTTGTTGTACTAGTTGGCAAGAATGTTTGTGAGAATTGCTTTGCTAGACAGAATGTTGACATCCTTTGTGGCAGTTGACTGTCTAAATTTGATGCTTGAATGTAATAATTCATAAGATTATGATTACATTATGCAAAAACTTTAAATTCATGAGTGATTGCTATACACTTGAGCACCATACTTTCTAATACTAATCTTAGTTGTATTACTAACATAATTATGAGCATAATGATTATTATACCTATGGTTTATTTCACAAATGCCATAAAAATTTACGTAATTACAGAGAAAACAAAATTATAGTACACTTCTTCAGCCAGTTTCAGCAGTGCATGATAATAAATTTGTGCATGTCCTTTAATGTAATTTTGATAGACCAAATTCAGCTAATGTGGTTATCATGGTTCTGGTTAACTGGGTCTTTGATATTCATGATATAAGATACTTTTTATCATAACAGTCGTTGTATTTGCTACAGGATATAGGTACTGATGTGACTAGTTTGTCCAGACGGTGGCTGGAAGGGGAAAACCAAGCAGAAGAGTTGCGTACGCCTGACCTCGATACCATGGACTACGACCAGTATCATCAGTCTCTAACACAGTAGGTTATAGCATTAATGAGAGTAAGGAATGAATTAAGAATACATTAAGTGAAGCCAGGTGATGTTGCATCTCAGACCAGCTTTTAGAGTTATTCTTTTTAATGTGGGATGTGAAAGACAGTTGTATTATAAATAGGTTAGCATAGGTATAATATACTGCCATGAATACAATTAAAGACATTAATAAAAGACTAGTGAAACGAATCAAAATAACCAAATAAAGAGAATGCTGTGCATCAATATGTATGCTTGGATCAGTAATTTCAAAGTATGAAATTAAGAATTTCCTTGAACAATCTTTCATCTCTTAAAAATCTTCATTTTAGTGTGGATGGTTGGCTTCATTACTTTAAATATTTCTAGGGATTTCTGTCTCTGAAAAAATTTGTAAGTGGTGACTCTCTACCTTGGACATTTTAGATCTCTTACTAGTAATTTTGTGCTAGAATTATCAATATCATACTTAATACTGCCCATCATATATAAAAATAACAAGATTTGTTGTTCAATAGAATTGCTTCTCATCAGCTATAAAGCACTGGAATAAAAATAGAGACGATACAAAACTATTAAAGTATATTCAATCTTATATATGTCAAAAACTTGAAGTAAAGGTTTTATTGTTTCTCCAAGAATTAGTCCTACATGCTTGTCATAAAAATATCTCGAGTAAATGACCGGGCCTCCCATGTTCCAGTCCTATCATGTTTCACTTAAAATGTAGTGCACTGTCTTTGTTATTCAGCAGTTTTAAATTGGATACATGCCTCCTTAACAGTTGTAGTTTATTACTCATTCCAAGGCCAGAATACTGTTGAGAACTTAATAACTCAACTAGTCAATCAACAGCCTTAAAAATATAGCTATACTAAAAATAATAAGCATACACAAATAACCCGCACATAAAAGAGAGAAGCTTATGACGACGTTTCGGTCTGACTTGGACCATTGACAAAGTCACACTAACCAGAGGTGGAGCAGGATGGCTATATATTGGCAGGAAGAGGTGGTGGTAGTAGTAGTAGTAGTACAAGAGTTGTATATAATACCGACAAGATGAAATCAAGACACGTGCACAACACCCGGGCATCCCCATCATAGACGTTTCGCCATCCAGCCAGCCACTGGATGGAGAAACGTCTATGATGGGGATGCCCGGGTGTTGTGCATGTGTCTTGATTTCATCTTGTCGGTATTATATACAACTCTTGTATTACTACTACTACTACTACCACCACCTCTTCCTGCCTATATATAGCCGTCCTGCTCCACCTCTGGTTAGTGTGACTTTGTCAATGGTCCAAGTCGGACCGAAACGTCGTCGTAAGCTTCTCTCTTTTTTTATTATTTTTTTTATTATCACACTGGCCGATTCCCACCAAGGCAGGGTGGCCCAAAAAAGAAAAACTTTCACCATCATTCACTCCATCACTGTCTTGCCAGAAGGGTGCTCTACACTACAGTTTTTAAACTGCAACATTAACACCCTTCCTTCAGAGTGCAGGCACTGTACTTCCCATCTCCAGGACTCAAGTCCGGCCTGCCGGTTTCCCTGAACCCCTTCATAAATGTTACTTTGCTCACACTCCAACAGCACGTCAAGTATTAAAAACCATTTGTCTCCATTCACTCCTATCAAACACGCTCACGCATGCCTGCTGGAAGTCCAAGCCCCTCGCACACAAAACCACCTTTACCCCCTCCCTCCAACCTTTCCTAGGCCGACCCCTACCCCGCCTTCCTTCCACTACAGACTGATACACTCTTGAAGTTATTCTGTTTCGCTCCATTCTCTCCACATGTTCGAACCACCTCAACAACCCTTCCTCAGCCCTCTGGACAACAGTTTTGGTAATCCCGCACCTCCTCCTAACTTCCAAACTACGAATTCTCTGCATTATATGCACACCACACATTGCTCTCAGACATGACATCTCCACTGCCTCCAGCCTTCTCCTCACTGCACCATTCATCACCCATGTTTCACACCCCTATAAGAGCGTTGGTAAAACTATACTCTCATACAGTCCCCTCTTTGCCTCCAAGGACAAAGCTCTTTGTCTCCACAGACTCCTAAGTGCACCACTCACCCTTTTCCCCTCATCAATTCTATGATTCACCTCATCTTTCATAGACCCATCCGCTGACACGTCCACTCCCAAATATCTGAATACATTCACCTCCTCCATACTCTCTCTCTCCAATCTGATATCCAATCTTTCATCACCTAATCTTTTTGTTATCCTCATAACCTTACTCTTTCCTGTATTCACTTTCAATTTTCTTCTTTTGCACACCCTACCAAATTCATCCACCAATCTCTGCAACTTCTCTTCAGAATCTCCCAAGAGCACAGTGTCATCAGCAAAGAGCAACTGTGACAACTCCAACTTTATGTGTGATTCTTTATCTTTTAACTCCACGCCTCTTGCCAAGACCCTCGCATTTACTTCTCTTACAACCCCATCTATAAATATATTAAACAACCACGGTGACATCACACATACTTGTCTAAGGCCTACTTTTACTGGGAAATAATTTCCCTCTTTCCTACATACTCTAACTTGAGCCTCACTATCCTCGTAAAAACTCTTCACTGCTTTCAGTAACCTACCTCCTACACCATACACCTGCAACATCTGCCACATTGCCCCCCTATCCACCCTGTCATGCGCCTTTTCCAAATCCATAAATGCCACAAAGACCTCTTTAGCCTTATCTAAATACTGTTCACTTATATGTTTCACTGTAAACACCTGGTCCACACACCCCTACCTTTCCTAAAGCCTCCTTGTTCATCTGCTATCCTATTCTCTGTCTTACTCTTAATTCTTTCAATAATAACTCTACCATACATTTTGCCAGGTGTACTCAACAGACTTATCCCCCTATAATTTTTGCACTCTCTTTTATCCCCTTTGCCTTTATACAAAGGAACTATGCATGCTCTCTGCCAATCCCTAGGTATCTTACCCTCTTCCATACATTTATTAAATAATTGCACCAACCACTCCAAAACTATATCCCCACCTGCTTTTAACATTTCTATCTTTATCCCATCAATCCCAGCTGCCTTACCCCCTTTTATTTTACCTACTGCCTCAGGAACTTCCCCCACACTCACAACTGGCTCTTCCTCACTCCTACAAGATGTTCCTCCTTGCCCTGTACACGAAATCACAGCTTCCCTATCTTCATCAACATTTAACAATTCCTCAAAATATTCCCTCCATCTTCCCAATACCTCTAACTCTCCATTTAATAACTCTCCTCTCCTATTTTTAACTGACAAATCCATTTGTTCTCTAGGCTTTCTTAACTTGTTAATCTCACTCCAAAACTTTTTCTTATTTTCAACAAAATTTGTTGATAACATCTCACCCACTCTCTCATTTGCTCTCTTTTTACATTGCTTCACCACTCTCTTAACCTCTCTCTTTTTCTCCATATACTCTTCCCTCCTTGCATCACTTCTACTTTGTAAAAACTTCTCATATGCTAACTTTTTCTCCCTTACTACTCTCTTCACATCATCATTCCACCAATTGCTCATCTTCCCTCCCGCACCCACTTTCCTGTAACCACAGACTTCTGCTGAACACTCTAACACAACATTTTTAAACCTACCCCATACCTCTTCGATCCCATTGCCTATGCTCTCATTAGCCCATCTATCCTCCAATAGCTGTTTATATCTTACCCTAACTGCCTCCTCTTTTAGTTTATAAACCTTCACCTCTCTCTTCCCTGATGCTTCTATTCTCCTTGTATCCCATCTACCTTTTACTCTCAGTGTAGCTACAACTAGAAAGTGATCTGATATATCTGTGGCCCCTCTATAAACATGTACATCCTGAAGTCTACTCAACAGTCTTTTATCTACCAATACATAATCCAACAAACTACTGTCATTTTGCCCTACATCATATCTTGTATACTTATTTATCCTCTTTTTCTTAAAATATGTATTACCTATAACTAAACCCCTTTCTATACAAAGTTCAATCAAAGGGCTCCCATTATCATTTACACCTGGCACCCCAAACTTACCTACCACACCCTCTCTAAAAGTTTCTCCTACTTTAGCATTCAGGTCCCCTACCACAATTACTCTCTCACTTGGTTCAAAGGCTCCTATACATTCACTTAACATCTCCCAAAATCTCTCTCTCTCCTCTGCATTCCTCTCTTCTCCAGGTGCATACACGCTTATTATGACCCACTTCTCGCATCCAACCTTTACTTTAATCCACATAATTCTTGAATTTACACATTCATATTCTCTTTTCTCCTTCCATAACTGATCATTCAACATTACTGCTATCCCTTCCTTTGCTTTAACTCTCAGATACTCCAGATTTAATCCCATTTATTTCCCCCCACCGAAACTCCCCTACCCCCTTCAGCTTTGTTTCACTTAGGGCCAGGACATCCAACTTCTTTTCATTCATAACATCAGCAATCATCTGTTTCTTGTCATCTGCACTACATCCACACACATTTAAGCATCCCAGTTTTATAAAGTTTTTCTTCTTCTCTTTTTTAGTAAATGTCTACAGAAGGGGTTACTAGCCCATTGCTCCCGGCATTTTAGTCGCCTCATACGACACCCATGGCTTATGGAGGAAAGATTCTTTTCCACTTCCCCATGGACAATAGAAGAAATAAAGAAGAACAAGAGCTATTTAGAGAAAGGAGAAAAACCTAGATGTATGTATATATATATATATGCATGTACATGTCTGTGAAGTGTGACCAAAGTGTAAGTAGGAGTAGCAAGATATCCCTGTTATCTAGCGTGTTTATGAGACAGAAAAAGAAACCAGCAATCCTACCATCATGCAAAACAGTTACAGGTTTCTGTTTCACAGTCATCTGGCAGGATGGTAGTACTTCCCTGGGTGGTTGCTGTCTACCAACCTACTACTACTTCTCTCTTTTATGTGCGGGTTATTTGTGTATCGTTCCAGTCACGGTATTGTGCCTTTTTTGTTATTTA